CGGAGACGCGTTAGTGTTGCACGCTGGAAGAATCTGTCCAGATGACACGATTAAACTTTTTTTTCTTTTTTTAACAGTTAACCGATTTTAATATTAATATTCGAAGAAAGCCCCGAGAACTATTGATCAAAATGTTAAGAAAATTCCCCAACGACTCAACTTCTGCACAGTGTCGTATCAAACCGTGCAAAATGTGCACAACTATCTGTGGGATCTGTTGCACGTGGGTGCGTGCGTGAAAGCGGGTGGTGCTCACCGGACTAGCTGTGCGTGTGAAGCCCTCCACTGCAGCACAGAGAGGGCCTCACTCCAACTCCTCCGTCGTCTGCACCGAGAAGCTCGAAGCCAACGGGCTGCGGAGAGAAACAAGAGTGAGACGAGAGTCAGTGAACAATCGCCACTGGGTTCTCCGTTATGGTTTGAGTGGGTGTCAACAGGGAGGGGGGGTAAGGCAGAGATAACATCCAATTATTCGTCTCATTCCTTTATTTCCTCAAGAAATGTTTAACTTTTGTCTGTGGCTGGCTGTGTTGCAGGTTTGAGCCAGCAGGAGGCGACAGGAAGTCAAAGCGGCACAAAAGTGTTTTTTTTCTTTTGACCACCGACGTCTCGGTGGGGGGGGGCTCACCTATGAAGATCTGGTGTTGCTTTAATCCTTAGTGTGAGCCTCTTGATGCAAGAGACAGGAGAGGGGAAGACTAGGAGTGAGAGGCTTTGGTCATGTGCCAAGAGTGTGCGGCGCTGGATGCAGTCCAACTGTGCAAGCTGCACCGTCGTGCCAGGTATGTGCACTTTTAGTGCACGAGAGAAAAAAGCTCTCCGTTTTTAAAGTGGTTGATTTTGTGCGTGTACTGAACTACTCTGAGGGGTGTGTACAAAGTGTGTGTGCGCCCAGAGCATACACTAAGGTTTAATCTCATTACAGCAGGCGTGATGGAGAGGAGGAGGGGAGTGGGGGAGCGACAGAAGGTCTGAACAGGATGGAGGGATAGATTAAGAAGAGGAGCTGGAGTGGAGAGTGGGAGCAGTGCCATCAAACACCCGCACACTAGGCCTGCCGCGATTAACAATAAATCAATTAATCGCGTGAGAAATGAAAATTATTGACCTCGTTTTCATTTATCGGCTTTATCGTTTCTTCGTGTCTCTCTTTCTACTGAAGACACTGGATGACAAAAGGCTCAACTCCGGTGCTCTTCACTGACCCCGCCCTTTCTCTTTAAAATCTGTTTTAACCGTCCAAAATGTTTTTAGATGGTTAAAAGCAGCTAAGCTGAGATGCTAAGGCAAACGGGCCGACCGGGGGGGGGGGGGGGGACCCCTCCGTCTTGTCAAAGTTCCAAAATTCACGGTTGAAACCTGTGCCTTCGTGTAAAAAGTTGTTTTCTTTCTGCAAAAAGAAGCTGAGAACTTGTTTACCAATATTTAATTAAAAGCTTTGTGTGAAAAATGCTAGAGCTCAAACCACACCGTGTCCGCCATTTTGAGAACCAGAAAAACAGGAAAGAGACAACCCATGTCACGTCAGGGGCCTCCCTCCTTATGTTCTTAAAGAGACACGCTACTCGCTCCCTCACTATCCATCCTTCAGTTCAAACAGTCAAGTACTGCCATCTGGTGGTCGAAAAAAGGTACTACAATCAAAACAAATTAAACATTTCTTCTTAAGTTTGACAATAATTACAATTTATAGTTAAATTTCAAACAATATTATTGTTTATTGCAATAATTTCTTAAATTAATTGCCCAACAAAATGTATTACTGTGACAGGCCTACCGTGCACCTTCCCACACAAACACAAAAGAAGACCAGACAACTCTCCTCTCCCTGTTTTTTTTACACCACCAGTTAAAAGATTTCCGTAAAACGTGAGTAACTTTCAGCTTTTGAAACCTGCACTCGTTACTTTTCACGTGTCCAACAAATTAAAACCATATTAAAATGTATTTTAATCAAGACTTGGCCTGCTGCCACTTTAAATGAGTCTTAAGTAGAGAAAAGGTTAAACCTAAAAAATAACATTATGCATCCCCACTTCTTCCTTTTCGGTCCTGGGGGGGTCACTGGTGTCCATATCCAGCAGTCACTGTGCGAGAGACGGGGGACACCCTGGACAGGTCTCCAGTCCATCATAGGGACACATGGAGACAAACAACCATTCACTCTCTCACTCACACCCGGAGACAATTTAGAGTTACCGATCAGTCCAACATGCATGTTTTTGGTCTGTGGGAGGAAACCAGAGTACCCAGCAAAAACCCACGCATGCACGAGAGAACATGCAAACTCCACCCAGAAAGGCCCCCGGTCGGCTGATGACAACCATTTGTGTTTTCTGCAGTCAGTTGGCTTAGGCAGCCATGTTGATTCAGGTTGACTCCAAACTTGTAGACGTCCATCCAACGATTACTTTTTGAAAAATTCAATACGTCTGTCTAGCGGTTCTTTAGATATTTTGCTAACAGACCAACAGTGGCCTTTCAGCAATGATAAAATGTTCACTGAATTGACACCAGAAGTCCAGTACCACCACTTACATCACACACACGTTATAACTCACTCCTCTTCCTCAATTAGCTTCAGACATAGGCATCAATTCCTCCCACCAGTTCCTTTTCTCTTCCCTTCTTCCTCCCTCTGACTCTGGATGTCTCTATTTAAAGGCCGGTTACAAAACCACCAGTCCCCCCCCCCCAACTCTATCTCATTCACTTCACAGAAATCAGCCTTTGCCAGTCGCTGCTGCCGAGTGCAGATACGCCGGCTTCAAGTGTCAGGAAACACACACACCTCACCTTTTCGAGTAGCACCAAAGTTATCGATTCACAGTTGTGTTAAGTCTCGCCTTCAGCTGCCAATCATCCCTCCGTGGGTCTCCTCACGCCTGGAAAACAAAGCAGCTTTGTTGTTGTCATACAGACAACATGGTGTCAAAGTCTCACACTCTTACAATTCATTCAGAAGCTAAAGGTGGTCTTCTACCCCCCGACTTTAGAGACAACATACTAGCTGCACTACCCCCCGGGTTCAGAGCGGCGTGGAAAAACTGAGGGTCGGAGTAAAAAAGCCAGAATGGTGACACAATGGGAGCCGAGGGGGGCTCCGGTTCGCCCAGTCTCTTTTCTCCTCTCACACAGACACAACAGATACAGCTCACCAGGCGAACGGCCACACAAAGACCGAGCTAACAGGAAGAGCCGAGTCAACACATGACGGAGCAGCACTCTGGGGAAACACTTAAATCAAACTAGAAAAACTTCTACCGAACGGTTAGAGCAAAACCGTAGCTAGAAACAACACGACAGAAGCTAAAACCTTAATTTAGGGTAACTGTAGCTAAAAGCTAACACTGGAAACCTGTTTCAAAAATGCTAAAAATAGCAAAAAACGTATATAAACATTACAACTGGCAAAACCGTAGCTAAAAGCTAAAATTACCAAGACACTAGCTAAAAGTAGAATAAGACAAAAAGGAGTGAGCGTGCTGAAGCAGATTTGAAAGAGAACTTATGTTTATGAATAAATCAGAGCGATCCAAATGTATTTCTACACGGGAAATGTTTGTGAATGAACCTAAAGTTCTGAAAGTCACAGCAAACTGTTCTCGGTCAAGCTGAACGTTTTCATGCGTTAGCGGTTAAAACAGCACAAAGTAGTCGTAGCGTTCACACTCGGGGATTATTTTCTGAAAGATGCATCACAAGCGCTGCAGTGGCTCATGGGATCCACTTCTAAATCTTGCTCCTAACCTACAAAGCTCTCAACAACCTAGCTCCATCTTATATTCGAGATATTATTGTCCCATATTTTCCTAACAGAGCACTTCACTCTCAGACTGCAGGTTTACTTGCGGTTCCTAGTGTTTCCAAGAGCAGAATAGGAGGAAGATCTTCCAGTTCTCAGGCTCCTCTCTTGTGGAACCAACTTCCAGTTTCTGTCCGTGAGGCTGACACATTGTCCAGTTTTAAGACTTTCCTTTTTGATAAATCCTATAGTTACGGTTGGCTTGTTATGCTGCTATAGGCTTAGACTACTGGAGGACAAACTGACCTCATTTCTTAAAATTAATTGTTAAAATTAATAGTTTTCATTTGATACTGTTTCTATCTTAACGTGATTCTTGACCTGC